AATGAAGCAATATTTACATAATTACCCAGCTTGTTCTTACTACTTAAAAGCCAGACCTGTTTTCACTACTGCAGAACTGCAAATGTTTGAAGGCAATCTAATCTCTCTCTTTGTACCACTATGCACTTAGCAATAGCCAATACCTAAAAGAGGTTGTGCGTTGTCACACAAAATACTTCGCTGTGACCTGTTCACATTTCTCTTAGCTGTTTTTCTCCATCACACAAATGCACTGACATATATACATTAGTACACTTCAGCACCTGAGAAAGAATGGCCCCACTGTACTGCAGCCAAACTACAAAATTAAGTGTGGTCCATGGCAGAATATAAGAGCCATAAACCAACATCAGAATTGTGATCAATCCCAGGGAGCAAGGAGGATTTGTACTGTGGATGCTCTGAAGCACTACCTAAACAAAGCAGACAGACCTGTGGAATTGTGTTTGGAAGTGCTTGCCATGCTCTTGCTTGAGGTCACCCTACAGGTATCTCCTTCCTCTTAGCACAAAAGAGAACTTACAGGTCTGAGTTTGGGTGGTCCCAAAATGTTCAGTATGGAACATCCCAATTAGTAAAACCAGTGCATTTAGATGCCCCACCAGGAAAAGACCGTAAAGGGAAAGGGACATGTTCAAGGACTGATTGTACTCTAAATGCATCAAAGAAATACTCTGCAACATCTTTGCAAAAGAATTATTCAAACAAACATCTCCATTTCAACTTTTGGCTTTGAACACTTGACAAGAGAGAAACCAAAAAAAGAATGGAAAAAGAAAGTGCCTCAAGTGTTATAATCAACATTTCTCTTAAGAGTTCTATTTTGCCATCATCTGATGGAGACAATACCCCACAAGATCAGAGTTGGTTCTCAATTCAAGGACCAAAATGCGATGATTTAAAAATAATTTAACACAAAGCCTATGATAAGAGGCTGCCTAAACGAATTAATTGGATGTTGCCTCAGAATTCTAAGATTCTGAAAAAAAAAAAAGGAAGTTTTCAGTACATTAATAGGAAAAAAAAACATGCTAGATTCTACATGAAGTAATTGTTATGACCCTGTTCAATCACATCACACAAAAGATGCTGAGATCCTTTCAGATCTTGCAGCATACAAAATCTATGAAAAGAACACAGCTCTAAACTTGGCTAAAATATTTTCAATTCAAAGATACAGAACAGGTATCTAAAGAAGAGGTCAGTCATACTGAAGTTTGTTCTTGAACACAGGAAGGATCTAATTATGACAGTCTACACTATTTTAGATTCTGCTACCCTTAATATTATAATCATTTTTATTATTGTCACTACTGCTTTTTCATGATTGGAAAAAATCCTTTGATAATCCATTTTTCACTTCCTTGCATATTATGTAAGTGAAGTGGAAAATAAAGGAAAAAAATGAAAGCTGTGTCTCCCACAATACAGAAAAACATATATAGTGAAGACTGTCAGATCAAGATACCTGTCTGTACAACTGCTGAAACAGTTAAGACAAGATGTTTCTCATCTTGAGTGAGATGAGCACTTCATGGAAGACCTGTACTCCTGCATATACCAGACTCCCTGCTCCACCACTTGTTTTACCCTCCAAACCTGGAAAATAGAGTTTATTTTTAAGAAGTTCATAGATGTTTGTCCACTGAACTGGACCCATCGATTTTCTAAGAGAAGGTCTACTCTTGTCTCCTACTTGTGAGTTCACATAAACTGCCATTACTAGTAAGTTAATTTCCTTTACAACAAGGTTACTTACCTAGTTGATCAAGGGAAACCAGCAGATGGGATATTTTTCTTTTGGATTTCAAAGCTTTGGATACTGTCTCTCACAGTATCCTTCCGGACAAGACATGCGGCACACAGCTAGACAAGTGCATAATATGGGTTGGGCTCAAATTGATATAGTAAAGGGGGTTATGTTAGGCTGGTGGCCAGTCACCAGTGGGGTTTCCCAGGGCTCTATTTTATAGCCAGTTCTCTTCAAGGCTTCATTCATAAAAAAAAATGATTTGTATGCAGGGCTCAAACACAAACTCAGCTTGCAGATGATGCTAGATTAGGAAGAGGTGTTGACTCCTTTGAGTATAGAGAGGCCTTGCAGACAGATCTTGAAGAATTGAAAGGCTGAGCAATCACAGAATCATTAAAGTTAGAAAAGACCTTCAAGATCATCTGGTCCAACCATCCCCTTTTGACCAGTATCAACCACTAAAACATGTCCCTAAGCACCACATTCAACCTCTCCTTGAACATCCCCAGGGACGGCGACAGTGACACCTCCCTGGGCAACCTGTTCCAGTGCCTGACTGCTCTGAGAAGAAAAATCACACCTCGTGAAGTTTAACAAGATCAAGTCAGATTCTGCATTTGGGATGGGGCAGTTCTGGATATACATACATGCTGGGGAACAAGAGGCTATAAAGCAGCCCCACAGAAAGGGATCTGGATAGTTTTAGTTGATGGCAAGATGTCTATGAGTGAACAGTGTGCCCTGGCAGCCAAAAAGGCCAACCATGTTCTGGAAATGCAGTAAGCATCACTGCTAGCAGGTCAAGAGAAGTGGTCACAGCACCAAGCCTGTCTGATTCCAAGTGTTTGGACAAGACTTAGAGACATGGTTAAATTTATAGGTAGGGTAGTTCCTGTGTGGAGCCAGGAGTTGGACTCCATGAACCTTGTGGGTCCTTTGTAAGTCAGCATATACTATGATTCTGCAACTACAGTAATATCCCTACAGGCTTCCTTCTGAACCAGACTCTTTCCCCTAGATTTAACAAATTTAAAACACCAAAATTAAACAGAACAGCAAGCATAGAATACCAGGCATTATTCTGTAAAAATTTTTTTCTTATTTGGGAAAGAAAAAAACCTTGAAAGCTTGAAGTATGTAGTAAAGCTGCTTTTCTAGTAATTCTGTGCTTCTTCAGAAGTCCACGGAAGCAAGTGTTAAAATTGAGCAGAATTGCAAAGAGATTTGGTGCTGTCTTAATTGCACCATTCTGAAAGGCATACTGAAGTGAGAAGAGGTAGTTTTCCAAGGCTTAGTGGTTCGCTTTGTTTTCTTTTCAGACATGTTAAAATTGAATCCCTCTATAATCTTACTGACCATTCAGTGCAGAAAGTCTGAGGAAGTGAAGAGACAGTGCCAGAAACTGAAACAAATACATCTCACGTTTCTGGTTTACTCTTAGAGATTTTGTTCCTCAAGACAGCTATTCTATTACAAAAACACAGTGCAAATCCCTTGCTTTTAAAGAACTGCAGTTAAAATTATTGTTTTCTGAGTAACAGGTTAATTGCAGTGGAAGGGAATTACTGAAGCAGAGGGTAAACTTGAGGGTATGCAGAAGTTCAACCAGGTATCAGAGATGTCCTTTCAAATTTCATGAAGGAAGCAACTGAGATATTTTGTATCTTTGAATGGTACTGATCCATTTTTTTTCTGGATTTTAAACACTGAAAGACTCTTGCCCTATTTGTACCAGTAACTACCATCCCTTAACTGAAACAGAAGCCCAGGTCAGTATTTTGATATTGGTCCACAGCTATGGCTGCGTTAGATGAGCACTGCAGCACAACGGTAGTGGAACCTACGGAGTCAAACCAGTAGTACTGAGGAGCAGGCACCCACACCATGTCTGTTGCAGGACAGTGAGGGAAGATAAGACTGACTTTAGGTTAGTCACAGCTTGGTCCCTTTGATCGAATGCACACTGACTACTAGAGCGCAGCAAGTATATACCAAGAACATGTCTTAGATCAGCCTCATCCAAAAGAAATCTCATTAGTGCTCTAAAATCTCTCCACAACACAAACCAGAGCACCGAAAGTGGAGAAGTTCAGGAGGTTAGTACTGAAGGGCAGTCCTGAACCAACAAACTAATTCAGCTGCACCTTGCAGATTTGCATGGACAAGTTTTGTTGTAGTGTTAAGTCTTAATCTTACTCAGTTGGTCAAAGCATTTCTCTCTCCAAGACAGCAAAAGCCAGGCAAGAAGTGCCAGAAAGAGGTTCACTCAAGAACAAAACAACTGGTATACATAACAAAAATACCTGAAAAGGAGGGACTTTTCTGGTCAGGAAAAAAGGCAGTATCACTTTTATCTCAAAAAAAAAAAAAAAAAAAAAGGCATAGCTGGCAATTGACTTATGGTCACTGTAGAAGCAAAGGCACTGAAGATCTCTTAAATGAGGTCTGTACCAGATAAAGAGAATTTAAGTTCTTATCACTCTGTTGTACTACTCAGGATTAGCATTCTGACAATAAGGACAGGAGAAGCAAATTGCTAATTTAGCAACGCAATTTGCGGACATGTGTATTGTTTTATATTAGCTACATAAGACTTCTAGAATAGGGAAGAGTTTGTTTACTACTCCATACAGAATTCTTCTTTAGAGAAACAGCTGAGAAATGAACAAAACAAAAACCTCTAGTCTCAGAACCTTTCTGCTAGATGTTCTTATTTCCTAACTCAAGATGGAGTTACGATGCTTAAGAAAATAGGACAGATACTAATTTGGTCTTGCTCCCACTACTGGATTCTACTCAGGAGATAAGATATAAAAACAAATTTCATAAGAACTAACTGAAAATTTCAACTGTAGTCATAACCAAATATACTTCCTGACAAATTCAATTTTTTTCCTCCTGATGAAATAAAACAGATAAATAAGTTATTCCAAGAACTAACAAGCAGATAATAGTACTTCAGTCCAAAGCATCAGCCATTTTTTTGTTAGTGACACTAGTACATAAAGTATTTATTCATTATGCTCATGAAGACAAACTGGCATTTATACCAGATATTTAATACACAAAAATATCTTTGTAATAAAGGTGGTAGAGAACACAAGTCATGCTTTGAGACAAAGATGTTTTCAGTTTAAATACCTGCACCGATCATGGTGATTGGAGATTCTATATATATCCATTCATCAGTATATATACCAGAGTGAACAAAGATAAGTCCATCAAAATGAGCTTCTTGAACTCCACCAAGAGCGTCCTCAATGGTATCGTAATACTAGAAGAAGAGTAAGAAGTTTAGAAAGCTATCCATAAAAAGGCATACAAATATTCTTAAGAATAACTGCTTTAGAAACTTACCAACATATTTTCTCTTCCTTTATATCTTGCAGGATTACTGTAGAAGTGTTCAGCAAAACCTGGCTTTACATGTGCTCCTTTGTACTGAAACAGGCAAAATAGTTCATGGTAAGCTTGCAGATTGGTGGATCTGAATGCAAAGCCACACACACCTGCATGTACATACAGACAAAGGATCCACTAATCCCCTAATTAACAAGCCATTTGCTGATAATGGTTACTTCTGGGAACTAAGGGTCATATTTGACCTCCTACATTAGGGCACCCAATTGAAAATGGCAGCATCAAAAACAAAGTCTGTGTCTTAAAAGAGTGATCAACTAACTCACTCACACAGCCAGAGGCATGTGAAGTAACTGAAATTTGTCAGTAAGCTCTTCACGTACCTTATTTACTCCACAAATTTCCATCTTTTGATTTTCTAGCTGCTTGCCACAGAACAAACCGCACTTACATGGTGAGGAAAAAATACTCCTGTATACATGCGCCTCTGATTCAGATACCAAGTTTGTCTTCAACAAGTTTTAGCGCTTCATTAACCAATGTACACTGCATTGTGTAACAGACTCGCTTTAATATTTTATTTCCATTTCCTACATTTTTCAAATATAAGCCATTCTTATAGTATTTTGATATTTTGGATTAGAGGTTCAATCACATGCCTTAAAGGTAATCTGTTTAGCTCCAGTCACGTCAGCTGTAAATCACCATTTAAGCCCAAGTGATGTTAATAACGTACTGCTCAGTCTACTAGTGGAAGAAGCATCTGAATCTCATAACCAGCATGCACACAGGCTTAAAAATATACATGATGACAACAATATACTTGGAGTTTATTTGCGAGCCACAGACCGTGACAATCTCTTCCACAGAATTTCATTGATGCAATACATGAACAAAACCCAAAAGAGCTGGATGCTCAAACATTCCACTTAAGCATGATCTTTCTCTAAAGTGTGTCTCAGAAAAGGAAATAACTTTAGATATTTCGCTATTGCGTAACAGTAGAGAGATCTCTACCCAACTCCTTAATCTCATCAGCTCATTTACTTTAACTTCAAAAAAACCTTACTTTAAACTCAAAAAAATAAGTCATTACTATATAATCAGCTATATTTCAGAAGTAAGTTTTTGCTTTTATACACCATCTTGAAATTGGAATAGAAATTAATACTACTGTTACCAGTTGCTGAAAGCTTTCCTTCCAGGGATTTGGATGTTCATATTCTTCTGGATTAATCTGATAAAATTTACCAGCTTCAGGATGCATCATTGGACGTGTGTACTCAAATACTTCCATATACAGTCTTTTCCTGAGTAGAAGTGTGAATCAGGAAAGAAAATTAGTGTACTACTCATAACTCTCCCATTTTAATATACCACACAGAAAATTAAAATTGTTTAATATGGTCAATGACAGTAAATTTGACCACAATCAGTTACAAACACTTCAAAACACTTTCAAAACAGTTTCTCTGTTGGACTGGCTTTTGTGTTTCTGTAAAATAGTTTTTGAAATGTGTTTCAGAACCCAAACGAACATGTTTCTCAACTTGTAATTTCAATTCAGGGAGAAATCTTAGTTAGCCACACTGTTTTTGGAATTAGAATCTATTTGTGCATGAACTGCAAAAGTGTTTTAGCATATGAAAGCTAGCATAGTAAGAATTACAAAACTTAAGACAAAGTGTGCTACCAATTCATCCTCACCTTGATAAAAAAAAGCTGCAAAACACATTCAAAGAAAACCAATGATGCACTGTATTTCAAAAGAAATTCCATCAACGAACAGATTGCACTGATTTAAAAAGAAAATAGCACTCCAAACACAACAATTGGATTATTTTGATTAATGCCAGAATACAAACAATTGCAGTGTCTAAGCCTGCTGATATTTAGTTTTAGAAGATGACATCAAATCTTAGAAATTTTAACTCAGCTAACACGACACCCCCAAAATTGTCTTTGGGACAGAGAAAAAAACATCACTTTTGTGATGTCATACTCAAGCTTTGTTCTCTTAGTCCTAATCTTTATCCAAAACTAAACAGAAAAACAAAAACCGAGACCAAACACTAGCATGTGAAGCATGTTACTTTCCCTTACAAATAATGTTAATTTAGAACCCATTTATTCAACCTCTCAATAACCCAGGGCTGGGACGAATTCATATGTGGGAAAACAACTTCAGTATCTAAGCAATAAACAATAAAAAATGAAAACAAAACCAAATAAAAGTATCTAACGCTAGACAAGCTAACACTTAACATCAAGACATTAATTTTCTTTTTTGAGTCAGGCAGAATTCCCACAGAAACCTGAACAAGGTTAAAGGGAAGGAGTGGCTACTGAAGGAATACCTCACTGAATTCTAAGGCAGCCAACAGCCAACTACTGTCTACACTACTAGATCATCAGAAGTTTTAATGTTTAACACACACAGATATTTGTAGGTAACAAATGATACTTGTGTAAATGAGATATATTGAAATACAATTTGTTTTAATTCAACTAATTGCAACTCCTAACTAACATTTCAATTTTTCTATTGTAATGGCATCTCATGAAGCACATCTTATGTTTTCTCTAGATAATGAGGAATAGCATTTTCACTTACCACAAAATTGGATCATTAGCCAGCTCACTGAAGCGTTTACACACACAAGCTGCTCTGCAGAGATCCTGCTCCAGCAGGTAGGAGAAGATCTTTAGAACCACTTCATCTGGCAACTTTTCCTGAAGATACTGTTCTGCAGGTGCTGCTATTAAACAGTAATCTATGTGAGACTGACATATTTAACCAGCCCAAATTCTAATCAAAATAAATCACCAGCTTGCCATTTGCAACATTCCCAATGAGAATTCCAAAGTCTCAGATTTTAAATACCCCTCATCTAAATCCAAGGACAGAAAGAGGTAAACGGTTGACACTGGAGTCAGGCAGAAGTTACAGACTGACAAAAACCAGCTACTAACCATGTTTCACGAACCAAGAGCCACTGTATCTATTATTACTATTGCCACACATGACAGTTTATACAGAAAAGCCCACCTATACAGTTTGCGTTCTCATGAGGACCTTCTGTGGCAGGTATCCTTACTACAGGGATGTTCTATTTGCAAAGGTTGCTTATTTGGTTGTTGTCTTTAGTATCTTTTCTCAGGCAAAGCCATACAGAACAGCTTCCAAATTTTAGATTTCTATGTGTGGCATTAAAAGCTCCTGCTACATTCATAATGCAATTATATCCATGTAATGCTCCTTGCATTATTAATTTTTTTCCTAGAACATCTGAACCAAGGGAGCAATACAACGGTTTTGAGTATTACAGGAAGACGAGTAGCAGGCCTTCTGTCTCATGGTCACTTCAACTTTTGAGTGAGATTCTGGAAAATGGTTTCCAAAAATATTTATCTACCTACCCCACCCCAAACAAAACAAGACACCACACAAGGTAAGCCTCAAGCCTTCCACGGGCAAAGCAGCATGAACAGCTCAGTTATTTCCAGCTAGAAGGGAGAGAATACATGAACTGTAAGGGCCAGGACTGTGGCTTCAGCAGAGATGTTAAGCTGTGGTTTACAGACCACATTACCAGAAGCTATGGACTATCAGAGAACTGATTAAAGCTGCAGCACACTTGTGTGTTTTTGTTGTGTGTCTGTCCCCGTTCCCTCCTGGGTGTTATACTCACATCTGTGGTCAGACCATTTAGTAGAAATGATGAAATATTACTGACTCTCCTGTGACTTCCCCTAAACTTGTTCTTTGGGTAACATTCATACAATGGTGCAGCAAGTGATTCACAAATATTGATTTCCTCTGAGATGCTAGGATAATTTATACAGTGTACTGATTGCTGGTCTTTATAGGAACATGACTTACAGTCATAAGCTCTGAATATGCACCCACCACTTTAATCAAACAAAAATCCATGGGAATAAGGGAAAGTCTCGCTATTCCCTACGTTCATAGCTATTCTCTTCCAAAACATATTTTTAAGTTTGTAGTATTGACTGTGGACAGAGGAAAAAAAGTTTTCTTCCTCGTCCTTACCTGCCCTCTTCCAAATTACTATTTTTACTGGATCAGCTCCTTGGTGTAGCTCATTCACAAGCTATAGAACCACTAGCATGGGTACCCCTAGCATGGATATCCAGAAGCTGGACAAGACAGTTCTTGTCACCAGCAGTACTACTAATGCCAGATTAAGGCATTTATTTTTTGTTAATAATAATAAAGTTTTATGCACCAGGCTGAAGCCAGTAAACTACCAGAACTAATAAAGAACAAGCTAGTCTGGAAATGTCCTTTACGTTCAAGATGGACTTTGAGAGACCAAGATCTGCAGACCATACACCAACCCCTGAGGTGAATACAGCTAGGAATCAGCAAAAAATGTTACCCATGCAATCAGTGCTTCTTTTTAAGAAGACATTTTTCCACTGGACATAAAGTGTTTTTTTTCTGTATCAAGCAGGCAGCAGCAACTCATTCTACAGTCCTAATTACCCTTGAAATGCAGCACAGGATAGCTGGGCTTTGCTTTTGAATTCATCTTTTCCTGGTAGCTTTCCAGTTAGATGTGGAGATAGCCTTACAAGCTGAAATGTAATGTTGTGAACGCAAGGCAGTAAATCCTCACAGGTCTTCCATGAGCTGTCTTGGGCTTTTAACACACGCACACAAATCCCTGAGGCATACAACATGATCTTCTTTCCAAGACAATCAGTTATTTGCCTAATCAGCCTGCAGAATTTCATCCTCCACTAAATTTACCTATATTAGGACTTGATTAACTTTGTATGGGGGGGGTGGGGGAGGGGTTCATTAGCGTAGTGCCTCCCATTGCTCAACAGTTCACACTTCATTTTCCTCCCTAGGTCACATCTCAATAAAAACTGAAATCCAGGTGCATTTCCTCACTGGGAGAGATAGGAGAACTTTGAAGGTGTCAAAAAAAAAAAAAATTCTTCAGGAAAACCAAAACCAACAATATCACACCTTGCAATTTTTCAGGCTGTATCTACTTGGAAGCTTAGACACTATTTACAAAATGAAGATGACAATTTTTTACAGGTGTTTCCCATCCTCTCCCACCTTTACCCAAAGTCCTTTAGAAGTAAGAATTTTTAACTTGCCTTTTCACTCAGTTACAAAAATGGGTGTAGGTGATTTAAGTGTAGATATCAGAGATAGTGATGGTTTTACTAGGTGGAATTTTTCAATATAATTTTAAAAGGTTCGCTACTTCTTAACATGAATACCTAGAATACCTGAGTCCGAGAGAGAACCCCATGGTTTTGTTTTGGAAATTCATGCTTTGGTATCTTTTAGTTATTTGTCAAAAGCAATGATGTATTTGTGTTCTCCCCAGTTCACAAAAATAGTCCAATTGAGTTTTAAAAGCCTATCTGGTGACCAAACTAGAATCATTAGTGTGCTGCTACTTCTGGTAGTTAGAAAGGTATTTAATTTTTTTCATGTAAGTATGCATTTCATACTTAACCTTGATTTTATTCCTGTTGACATAAAGAAGTGTTAAAAAAGACAAAGTGCAAGAGGCTACCACCTCTACTACCAATCTTTATCATTGCCCTGACACATCAATTCAAATATTGATCATTTTAATAACGTGTTAATATGTAAGACAACTGAAAATTATAAAAAAAGGTGGCTGAGTCATTCTGTTTCCACAAGATAGGCATGAAGCTAATTCAGTTTCCTTTTTTTTTTTAATCATTTAGTAGATAGAAACTAGTACAGTGAAACCAAGATGAGGGCATGAAAAGCTGCCTGAAATTGAATTGCAGTTGTTGTACAGAGATCAAGAACGCCATCCTGTGAATCCTGAATTGTAAATTATGTCTTGTATGGATACCATTTTTTGTCCATTTAATAGAGAAGATAGGGACAGATATATTTTGTTCTGTAAGAAGGCACTCAATGTTTTCTTGATGAGAAATAGTCGTCAGAAAACATGGCAGGCAGCAATCTTGGAAAAAATAACTTAAAAATCAATAGGGAAAAAATAAAAGATACTAAATTCTGTGAACCATGAGCTATGCATGTATCTGATGTAAGAAATAAGCAACAAGTGATCCAACAACCTAGAGTCTCAGTATCTACTGTAACTCCAGGGGTCATCAAAAAGAAATAATTTGTCCCTGAACTCAAGTCTTCCAAAAAATGATTAAAAGCCAGTATGAACTGCTCAGTATAAAATTAATATGCAAATATAGTGATGTAGTGAGAGAGAAAAAAGCCCTGCACAGTAATAAACAAAAAGGAAGAGTGTGTCGGTGGATTAAAATGACATGACAAGTGGTACTGAAGGTTGAGAAATCATATGAAGTGGAAGCAGACAGTTCAGTTGACGTAAGGAAACAGAACATACCAAATCTAAAATCTTTCTGTAAATCAGGAAGTACTATGAATATCAGCATATGATAAAAGTATTTGTACCTACAAGATCTAAAAGCGGTAAACTTTTTATTCAGATACCATGCAAATAAGAAAGTTGTAGGTTCACCAGTTACTTCTGATGTAAGCAAGACAGCTCAAGCATATCTTTTTCTTTTTTTTTTTTTAATTTATTGGAATTCTATTTAGAGGGGTTTAAGTGAAAAATCATTCACATATTTTCTAGTAATGTACAACTTTCTTATCAAGGTTCTTATATATGCATTAATCTTTCTGTCTCAGGATCGCAATGCATATTGTCCATTACCAAGACTATTTGAAGACACAGTTGCAGAGAAGAAAAATTTGTCAATATTTGAAATCACCAGAAAAAGTCTGAAATACTGTCAGGAAGAACACACTAAAATTTTTAAGTATCAACTGTTTCATGGAAACATTAAGCCTGAAATCAGTAATAAAATACGTAATATTATTGTTTTTCCAACTACTGGCTCTAATCCAGCTGAATACATTGGTTGACTAGCATTTCTCCTTTCATCTCCCCCCAAATTTTCCTCAGCTCAGAGTCCATACAAGAAGGAACGGTTCTCTGCCCAGACATCCCTACATCACTAGTCCCATACCTTTATTTTAGAACTTTAGTTGAAATGAACAGTTATATGTTCCAAATGATAATATACCATTTCCACTTCTGATGTTCCAGAAAACTTCATGCTCACACTCAGTCACAATAGCTATTGTTATCCATGGTAACAAAGCAAACAAACAAAAAGGCAAGAAAAATCTTATGGCAATCAGTATTTGCACAAATTTAGAGGAACATCTCAAGAAATGGAAAGGGGAAAATAAAGTAATGATCAGCCACACTGGAAGAGAGATCAATATAAAGTGGTTTGACAAGTACCCTCTGTTGTCAAACTGTGACTGGTCTGAATGCATTCTTAAGAATATAGTTAGAAAATCATTGTTTACAATTCCTCTGGAAATTCCATGCTGGAAAAGTTTCCACAGTTCAGTACCTTCCCCAGACGAGTTCAGTAATGCAACACAAGGAATATACAGGAAACGCATGGAAAATTCATTTGGAAATTACCATTGTGATGTAATTTGTACCAGAGGACTTGAGTAAAATTACTGACCTTCAATAAAGCAAGGAGGTGGGTATGAGCATAATAAAGGATGTATCAAAAGTATATAGCCTTGAAGGAAAACCGGGAACTGGCAAGAGAAACTGAAAAGAAAGACTTTGTACCAGGCTTTAGGTATCAAGTCAGGAAGTGAAACTGGAAGTAAAATGACAAAAGCTGATGTTCATTTGGTTCTCACCATTTCAAGGACATAAATCTAAGGTTAAATGGTTTTTAGTTACAGAAATTAAGAGAGAAAGACAGAAAGGGGAGATAGATATACAGCAAAGGTGAAAACAGAAGACAGAAACTACATCAACAGGAGCTGGCAAGTGCTAGCACTGATTTTTCAGGGAGAAGTCACAAAAGATCTCACGGAATTAAAGTGCGTAGAAGACAAAAAGGGGAAGAAGCAGAGATTGAAAAAGGATACAGAAAAAATGAACAAGTAGTGTGCTTATGCATGTACACATGTGAACATAAATACACCCATATATACACACTATACATATAATACACATACTTTGTGCATGTGCATATATGCATTAGGCATATCTGCATATATGTTTATTTTTTAAATAATTTCTCACACGCACGCTGAAAATCACAATAATGACATACCAAAACTACTTCTACCTCCAAACAATATACTGGAATAATATGAGAAATCATAAACAAACCTAGTCCTTTGCTGCAGCATTATTACTTTTAAGAATACCTTAGATATAACTGCACTGCACTTCAGAATAATAAAAAAAATACATTCTAAACAAACAACACAAACTGCATCTGCAGTAGAGCATGCAGACTGAAGGACCAGATTCTAGAAGTCAGACTAAAACCAGTGTTCTTCCACTGCAGGTTATTAGTTCAAGAATAGAAAAGATTTTTTTTTTTTTGAGGGTTAGAGGGGTAGTGGTATCAAAGTGCATCCCACCAATCTTTGTACAAAGAGTTGTTACCTGATAAATCCTGGGATTTTCCAGATACTCTAGCACGTTTAGCTCGGTGACCAAAGTTTTCAGTAGCCGAAGTGGAGGCACCCTTTAAAAAAATAAGTAAGGATTAATTCAGTCATTACATAAACTACAAAAAGTACTAATTATCTGCCTATTCTTGAGGCAAGAACTACAGTTAAAAAACAATTTTAAAAGTTACCTCCATACTGTTCTTTGTAGGGCAAGCTGTTCTTTTAGGTAGAAGAGTTTTTCTGCGAAGTTGGTATGGACTATTTTGTGCACCAGGACCTGATTCTTCTGCAACCATATCTGCAGGCACATCATCATCTGTCAACAACAACAAAACAGCTTAATTAGAATTGTAGGGTTTTTCTGTTTGTTTTTTAGAAATAAAAAAACACTACAGAAGTTTTTAAATAAACCCATTCAGTTTGAGGGGGAGGGGGGGGAAGTGCTAGAGCACAGTGAACATTTGAAGAAGTGTGGAATATATGTAGTAATACAAAATTACACTCAAAAGTACAGATGAATTTAACCTGTGCTACACACATTTATATATATAAATATATATAAATAAATACATATACATACACAGCTGCTACACCAGAAACTACCTTTTTAAAAAGCAATTAAAAATACAACTTCACTTTATTCGCAAACGTGTTATTCACTATGCCAATTCTATTACCTCATTACCGCAAACTTTTCACCTCTGTAACACTATCATAATGAATACTGCTGTAGCTTCAATTATTAATCAGGTGTTATCAAGAAGTCCCTTAGTAAATATGGAACTTAGTTCAAAACCCATGGCAGATTTTTCCAAAATATTCCAGGAATAGCCCCAGCCAGCATACAAATTCTTCTGTAAAAGGGAAAAGGAAGACATAATGCTAGAGGTAGCTTTAACGGCATACACTGATTGCTTAAAGTACAATTTTATATAAAGAGTAAATCCTCTTCCTCTTCTTAAAAAAAAAAAAAGTACAAAAGCACGATGAGTATTACTTGAATGCAATGAATGAAAAAACTTACATTTCCACTGTTTATAAAATTATGCAACAGATCAAAAACAAGCAAAGAATTACTATTTATCTCTGCATCTCCTATGACTAGCATCACATAAAGTTACAATAATTTAACAAAGGCCAGAACAAAAATCTGGTGGGACAAAAGGCTGGTGGGACATGCCAAACAAGCTCGAGGCAATCTAGGAGAGTGTCATCAGTTATTTAATCCATGTGAAAATTAAGCCTGCAAGAAGTACCTCCATGCTTATCCTTCGGCCAGACCACCAGGTCAGCACAGCCACAAGGAGGGCATGAGACCACGCGATGGGGAAGAAGCAGCCCCCATTTTGCAGCACCAGCACAGATATTTAAGGACATTAAATGAAATTTGTAAAATTTCAAGTATTTTTTAATTACACAGAGTACCACCAATACACAAACTTCAGCACACGTTCCTGTGAACCCAGCCCACCTCTGGCATCACACTCCTGTTGGATGTTACTGACAACTCACAGGTAACTAACTACACCCCCAAAGCTCAGTCATCAAATTTTAAGCTTCTTTGCCATCTCTGATAGAAAACACTGCTGCCAAGTTAATCACACTATCAGCAGCTGGAATAGAAAGCCAGAAAGTCCACTACAAGAGAGCACCCAGCTTCCTTCACAGGTAGTAACAGCAGTCGAGTCTGAAGGAGGCCTTGATTATGTAGTGGCTGCCAGGAGCGAGACTCTTTCAGGCCAAACTCTTGCACCCAAATGTATTAAAACATTTGAGTACGACACTACTCGCACCCCTTATTTCTGTTTAAGGACTGACACAGTATGAATTCTGTTGTGGATACCCCCATAAGCATGCTACTTGGAGATTTTGAGGGTCTTCTCTTCAGCCTCTTTCCCCATTTCACACTGAACGCAAAGCACCTGTCAGAAATGCATGATCTTTCTTCCCCCATTCTTGATGTAAATACAATAGTTCAAAACTGCCACACAGAACACGGTAAAAAACATAATAAACTATGAAAAAATAGCTAAGCACAGGTTTGATCTCTCAGTAGGAGATGAAGAGAGCAATGTCAAAACCCCAGTGGGGTTCTTAGAAGAAAACCAACACAGGCTACTAAGAACAAAACATATTACCACTGGAAGGAAGACAGAAGCCTCTGGGGGCAGGGAGAATGGAAGTAAAGGTCAATTTGGCTGAAACACTGAAAAACTGCTTAAGCAGAAAAGAAAATACACTCATTTTCTTGCAGCAGATTTAGGAGGATGGCACGAGTCCTGCTCGAAGATCACTCTTCTAGCACAGATGACATTAAGAGATGCATGCATTCACTCAGATTCACAGCAGGTACTGTAAGAATTAAAACCTTCCTTCTCCCATCTGGCTGGCAAGGCAGATGAGGAAGACGAGAGAAGTGCACCAGAGGGAAGTGTGAATGTGCAGAGCGTGGGAAGCAGCAGGGTGCCCGGAGCAAGGGTGGGAACAGTCCCCACTCCTCCTGCTGCTGCATGGCTGTGCCACCAGAGGTGCTGCTCCTGTTTGCTTTAGGACGGTCAGAGCAGCTAATGGGGCAGAGGAGTGCTTCAGAAAGCAAAAACCTCCAACCTGAAGGATATGTTAGTACACTGGCTGCAGATGAATGGCAACAAGAGTTGGGTGGATGAGATGCCTCGTTTCCTCACCAGTACATTTTGGTCACACTCACGAAGGGCTGGGCCAACCCTCAGAAAAATTTCTAATATTTCAGAAACAATAACACTGTTCAGAAACTGCTAATATTCTTCCAAATGTGCCCCACAGTGTTTCACTTAAAGTAACTATCAGGAAACTCGTAAGTCTGAAGTGATCCACTATAGAAGTCATCTCACTGCTTGTTTTTGATCTCCCAAATGCTACGTTTCAAACTCCGAACAGAGTAGAACAGCTACAGGGTAAATTCTCAGAGCAATAGTTCTCAGGATGTACTGTTTCCTGAAGACTGTGTTACCCTTCCATAAAGGAGTAACACGACAACATTCAATTTTGCCTGGGAACTTTCTGTGCTAAGAAAATGTTTTGAAAATCCTCCCCTAAAAACACTCACATGATAGACATTTTTTTTTCCCCCCCAAAGAAAAGCCAATTTTAAAATACAGAGACTCTATGCCTACAAATCATTTTGAGAAACCCAACTTTAATGTGCAACAGTACTAGCTACTGCATCTACTGACATAAATAAAAGGCATTATCAACATCTGTTGATGGTAGGAGTGTTTGTCCTATAAAGTCATTAAACAAATTCAGGGGAGCATGTGTGTAATATCAATGCCCTCGTGTACACACCTGCTGAAATGACTGCCAGATGCTGTCACAATTTTAAGTCAATACATTTGCAGTTTTAAAAGATTAATTTAAGCTGGGGTCTGCTCTCAAACATTTACCTGTATACTTTACACTAGTTGTATAATTTAAGGATATAATTTCAAAGAAAATCACGTTTATTTAAAAGGTTAACCTGCCACTCTTGTCAGCTGCTATAAGCATGACTCTTGCATTTCCACAAATGCTATTAAGTGTGTATGTTAAAGAACATAAAATTAACATTGTTTAGAATGTAACTTACAGTAGTTGCATGGAAAGTAATAAAGGGCTTTCCAAATAGTTTATTAAAAGACACATGGAGCACCTCAAGAGAAAGTTTATCATGACCATACCATTTTCTTCACAAAAAAGCATGCACGGGTGGTTTTACTTCTTACACATTAAG